GTCTTCTTCATAGTCCACTTCCAGTCACTGACACGTCGTTTAGAAGTAACGTTTGTGCCAGTTCCCTGCTGTACTTGGTCTTCCACAACTCAGCTTTTGTCAACTCGGTGAATCACTTAGTACCAAAGTCAAACGTACCAATAGGGATTTCACAAGGTCGCACGCCAACTCCCCAATAGTGGATTCTGTTGTCTATCTGAATCACACCGTTGGAGCGTCCTGACTCCCAAACACCTTTGGTTGTTTGCCAAGGTAATCTGGGCATTGTACTATACACCTGAGCGGTTCAGGCGTTCACACGCCTCACGTCAGCTGGTGCGCGTGCCCGGATTTGGACTAGGGTGCTTTCACCGAGTTTGTATTGATTGAGTCAATTGGGTTCTGGTTACTTATTAACTTCTAACAACAGTTCTTATGACTAGAAGTGAAAACACGCAGAAGGAAGGAGGACGCGATGAGTCGGCATCTGGAGGACCGGTCCGGTTTCGCGTCGAGTGCAAGGGTTGCTGCCAGAGAACCAGCGTAATCTGGACGAAGTCGAGCGCGATAACAGAAAACAGAATGCAGCACTTCGGAAGGCAGCCCAGGAAGCGAGGGACGCTTCAACTTCTGGAGAACCGGAAGCAGAGTCGGCTGACTCTGACACAAACCAAACGTCGTCGGCCAAGGACTCCGAGGATGGTTCTACGAGAGCTTCTGAAGCGGACTCTCGAAAGTCGGATCTGGAAGAAGATTCCCAAGCGGAGTCATCAGAACGTTCTGGCCAAAGTGAGGACTCTGAATCTGAGCAACCGGAAGTTGAAGAATCGGCCCAAGGAACAGGTGGGACTGTTCCAGTTGAAGGCTACGTTCAGACGTACATCCCTTCGGAAACTCTTCGGCAAGTACCTTTGGAAGTTGACCAAAATGACGTGGAGATGTCGGATCCCGAACCATCACAAGATTCAAGTCAACCCCCAAAAGAGGAACGAAGACGCAGTTAGAGTCGGAGGTCAGATTATCCAGAAGATGACTCGGATGACGAAAGGCACCTACGCCGACGACGTTCTGGAAGTCGTCATGGAGATGCCCGACCACGCCGAGAGAGAACTCCGTCTGTAAACTCTAGGTATTCCGAACGCACTGACAGATCAGGTCGCTCGTCACGCTCGTCGACATCTGGAACGACGCAGGTGGCTTTGACAGCCATTCACGAAGTGAAGGATTCGATGGCACAGATGCAGAAGACTCAAGAGACGTTGATGGCCGCGATGGGTGCGCTCGCGCTCTGTGATGCCGGATACGTGGACGTCAACCCGGGGTGGGAACCACTTCCAAACGATACTCATTATCAGGTGTCGAGAAGCCAACCTCCGGAAGTACCCCAAGTGGGAACTGGACACTCAGCCCAAGACGCATTGGAGTCTCGCTTCGCTGACAACCAGCTTGGGGCTGAATCGCTTATGGAAGCACATCGGCGACAACACTTGGACGGGATGGCTGCTGACACGAAGTGATTTGGGATTTCGCATGGAAGCAACGATTTGTATGGAACCAGGAATTAGGTAATGGATACAATGGACGGGATGGCTGCTTTCGAGAAGGAGTTCCAGACGCTGCGGTTGGAACGTGACCAGGAACGCGAGGCCAACAAGAATCTGCAGTTGTTCCTCGTCGGGCGTCTGAAGAAGCAAGCGGAATCTCAAGGAGTGAGTGACAACGGTCTGAAACCGTTCCCGAAGTGACTACTCAGGTGTATGTGAATTCTGATTCGACAACTGGGAAGCCAGTCTATAGTGGCATAAACATGGGTGACCCACCTGTTCTGAGAAAACACATGGTACCGTCCGAAGTCAAAACGCTCTACGCCACTCAGACACAAGCCGCCTTAAGAGACCTCGATGAGACCAAGATGAACGTCGCGGGCACAGCCGCCGCTAAGGCGGCAACGACGACAGCGGTGAAGACGGAGGCGACGGCGGATGTCCAACAAAACACCTGCGGAAGGCAAGCCTCCCCCAGGAAACCGGATCTGCGAAGGAAGGGATTGCCGAAGGACGACTCAAGAAGAAGTCGACCTCGCCAAGTCAACGACCAGAGAAGCATAGTCCGACGGATGACGAACCATCGGATGACGACAACGATTCGGACAAGGATAGCAGCTCGCTCGAAGACCTCGCGTCTGTGACGCAGGTTCGTGCGACCGGCCAGGGACGCTTATGTTCAACCCAATGGTTAATATTACAGCGCTTGAAGATTTTGACGAGTAGCAGCCCCTGGCTGCCGAACGCGCTGGTTTGGAGAAGTTCCAAAGTCTCGCGGTCATGGGAAGGTGGTCAGACCATGCAAAGGTTTACTACTGCAAGCTGAAGTTATCGTCGGTCGTGCGTGATTGGCGAGGGAATTTGGATGAATCGGTATGTCGCAGTTGGAAGCGCTTTGTGAAAGCTTTCCGTGAAGAGTATTGCAAGGCGAAGACTCCAGATTCTGAGTACTACTAGACGACTTTCCAAAGGAAAAGTGAGACCTCTCGAGAGTTCTACTACAAGTTGAACAAGACTGCGTGTAAAGCAGACATTGACATCAAGTCTACAGACATTGCACGTGACCGACATATGAAAGTGTTTATCAAGAAGTTGAAGGATACTCAACTGAGATCGACATTGCAAGGCCAGCGGGTCCGCAGTCTGAAGAACTTGGAACATATCTTGAAACAACATGAAGAAAGCTGGTGGAGTGACGATCGAGCGCACCCTTTGAAAGGCGATGACGGGAAGTCTGACAGTGCATTTGGAAATCGGCAACGACAGAAGATCAACAACCGGGCGTACAATGTGGATGAAGACGAAGTCTTTGAGAGTGACGATGAACAACAAACCATGTTTGATCAAGGCATTGAAGGCGCACATCAGAAAGTGTCATTTGGAGAACCTGTTTTCGACAGGGCCGTCGACGGTTTGACTGAGGATATCCCTGACGGAAACATGATGCTTCGGAAACAAGATGCCACCTCAGAAATCTACCGGATTTTGGAGAATTCCGGATGGAGGCCCCCAAATTCCGAGTACCGATCGCCGCCAAAGACAGATTTCGGAAAACCGCAACAGATGCGTCATTGCAATAGCTGTCGGGGGGGGGGTCGCACCCCACGGAATTCTACTGGGCGGATATGGAATGCAACCGATGTCACAAGAAGGGACATCCTGCTAAGTATTGCAAGGTTGATCCTTGTCCGTTCTGTTACAAATTTCATAACGGCGAGTGTTATGGACTGAAGACTCTGCAAGCACTCAAGAATCTCGCCAAGCAAGGGAGACTGAACGATTTCCTGATCACCTTCTCAACCAACGTTTGGATGGACATGCTAATTCTGTGACGAAGCCGTTAAACCACTAAGCCCGCTGGATGGGGATCCAGTACGCTACGACCCCCAGGATAATGTGTGTTTGCTTATGTTGGACCAGAGTTGAGAAGGCAGGCCAAAGCCATCCAACAAACCATGAATGTATTTGACGAAGACCTTCTTGTGGAAAGTTCGCTTCCGGATGAATCTCAGAGCAAACTTCCAGACGACTCGGATATCACCATGTGTCCAGAACTTCGCCTGAAACGAGGTGAACGCTATTGGTGGTGGCATGATCACGAGCAAGAAAGGAACCGAAAAATGGCATTGGTGCATGGAGCGGTGAATAACGTTTGGACGGATATACTCTTGAATTCTGGAGCGTCAGTGAGCATGTTGAGTTTAGGTCTTGCCCGTAGGCTAAAATTCAAGTTCAAATTTGACAAACAGATTTCAGTATCCGGACTCGGAGGCGTACCGACCAACATTACTGCAAGTGCCGAGGGGAAAATCACTTTGGGACCAAGAGTAGATTATGTTGTTGATGTTTGGGTCGCAAACATTGGGGGAGGTTTGAATGCTTTGCTCGGAATGAACTTTATGTTCTCGGCTGGAGTACGGTTGTGCGCCAAGGAGGGATTTGTCCAACTTCCGGATGAAGAGACAGTTTTGCTTTCAGGAAGAGGACTGTCCCACATCAAGCATGGTATGGCGTACGGGATCCGTCCAAAGTATACTATGTATCTTCAACCCGGAGAACATCGGATAATCCGGCTGCCCGCTTTCCGAAAGCTAATGCGGCCGTCGACTGTCTGGGCTGGACGAGGAGATCGTTGGGTCACTCAGGTGTTGTATGCTTGGAAGGTTCTTGCTGCGATTAAGGTAGCCAACATTTCCAGCCGCGTTGTTACTATCGACTGGCGGACCGATGTTGCTCAAGTTGTCAAGAATGGGTTCTTACCGAGAGCGGGACGCTATGTGCGCGTTAGTACTCGGAGCTATCGGGAATTGCAGACTCTCATTTATGAGAATACTATATCCGCCAGAACCCAGGCTCGAGAGTCACAACGTCTGGATGATCTTCTGAAGATGGAACCATCAGTCGTCCAAACGCCGAACTACCCGTGGCCGACTAAGATGATGGTTCGACCATCGCCCGGTTGCGAGGAAGCGAGAGTGATCAACCTTCAGATAGTCCCGAGTGAAATGTAGGATGGAACATCTGATGTAGGTAAGGGGTTGTCAATGAGGACGTCGAGAGGGACGACGCCGATACCTGAAGTGAGTGAGATTTCGGAAGCTGAAGATAAAACAACGGACGTCCCAAGAGGTGAGCCTGAAGAAGCTCCGGATGACCAGGATTCGGATGAAGATGAGTTTTTCGACTCAATTAGTGTCGACGAAGGTTTTCCAGAAGTTAACTGGGAGGACATTCCAAAAGTGGAACCCGAGGATGATGTGTTTTCGGACGGGCCGGTGTCGGTGATGGCTTGTACGCCAGTTCAGCAGCTCGAGCTCGAGTACGGACGTGTCATGCGAATAATTGCTGAAGAACTGGACCTCGAGCCCGCACTCTATATTCATGAAGGGAGTGAAACGTTATCACAACTCCGGGAAGAACTCGCGTTGCTTCCGGATATCGAAGAACTATCTCCGAAATGTGATATTGATTCGACCGACGTTGGTGAACGTGGGACGAGCACTCCAGAAGACGAGCAAAAATTGCGAGTGATCCTGAAGTACCATCGAACCATCTTTATGGGAGATGGGAATGCGGTTTCAGCCCCGGCGCAAGGTGTGACCTGTGATTTAGATGTTGGAGAGGCGAACCCTGTCGCTCAACGTCCCCGATCTGTTGCACCACACTTATCGATCAAAGTGTATAAATTGCTGAAGAAGCTTTTGGAAACCCGACCCATTGAGCATTCAGAATCATCCTGGGCATCACCCATTGTGATTGCCCTCAAGAAAAATGGTGTGGATATCCGAATGTGCGTCGATTATCGAATTGTCAGTGGATTCATTACGTTGTCCAACTATCATTTACATTTATAGATGATCTACCGGTTGGATTTGAGGATGTCATGTGGTTTATGAGTTTGGATATGGCTAGTGGCTTTTGGGCGGTTAAGATGTCTGAAAGAGCAAAGCTGATATCGGCGTTCGTCTGTCCATTTGGACACTTCCAATGGACTCGCATGCCATTCGGACTCAAGAATGCGCCGTTGATATATCAGTCGGTTATCAACAATTGTCTGTAGGGATTTGGGAGATTGCCTCCGGAAGAAGAAGCGGAGGTCGATCAAGATGTTTTGGACTTTCTAGGTCTGGACCCTACAGATAACCAAGGATCTGAAAGTGGCGGTCTAAAAGACGAGGTGAAGGGACTCGCAGACTCCATGACCATTTTCCAAAGGAATATTCCCATGCCTTCACACATTGGTCCAGTGCTGGGACACAGTACTTACATTGACGGTATAGCCCATGCATGGCAAGGAAACATGAGATCAACTCTGTGAGGATCTGGACACCTTGCTTTATCGCTTATGTTACTGGAATATACCAGTGAGTTTGCCGAAGAGCGAGTTTGGAAAGCGGTCGATCCCTATCTGTCACACGAAATTCGTGCAGAATGTATCCGAGCGACCCCAAAGATTGCGAAAGGCGTAATGGATCTACCGTTTCTCAAATCCCACAAAGGTGTGCTATCGTTTATCGAACTACCACAAGTTCATTGAAGACTTTCTGGTAGTGGCAGCAGTTGCTTTACGAGCTCTCAGAAGACCAAAAATGTCAGGGACGAGATCTCTCACGAGCCCATGAATCTTTCGAATTTCTCAAACGGAAGATCGTGGCGACACTGATGTTAAGACATCCGGACATCCAAAAGCCATTTGTGGTTATTCCGCACGCGAACCGATGCGGTTGTCAAGACGGATCGACTCCAATTGCATGATGCACCGGCACCCAAGGAGAGAGTTAAAATTGCAGTGGACAACATTTTGCTATTGGCATCATAGTGGTGTACTCCGATGTGCACTTGATTCCCCCACTAATGTCGAAGTACCGGATATGTTGATTGACTTCCTGCGGGCAGGAAAGTGGTGCAACAATGCCTACATAGTGGATAGTAAAGGGAGGCCGCTGAAAGCCACGGACTTTCCGTTGATGTATGCGTGTTCGTTCCAACATCTACATGTATCACGTATCGAACCAGGTGAATTTGTTTTTCGCCCACCAATAGCTTCTCGACCATTCGAGAGGCAACATCACATCCAGATTCCAAAGTGGTGGCAAGTGGTTTTGGATATATCCCGGACACTGGTGTCAAATGCCAGCTAAAATTTTTATGTGGCATCTACCCGATCTGAAAATGGAATATCAGTAGTTCACGGGCTGGTATCACGAAGTTATAGCTTTCTCAAAGCAACAGATTAGCGAGGAAGCTTTTCAATTTAAGCAAAGTGGTGACGGCTGGACCTGGAAAATTTAGAGTCGAAATTCTGGCAAACAATTCGATCAAGACTTTAATACTTTGCGCTACATGGAGAGGGTAATGGGAATATCTTTTCGAGCTACTCCATTTCAACATGCGACACCATGGATAGCCCCGCCAGGAACGTTAGCAAGGAATATTCGAAAATGTGTTCGTAAGTAGCGTGGTGTTTGCCTACGAAAACACCCAAATATGATGTACCTCATGTTTTTGACAAGATGGGCTCGAGCCACACAATCGCAAACGTCACGCACAATTTGGCTCCACGATGGAATCTTGACTGATTATCAGCGCATGGATCATCTTCAGTGTAAGGATGTCGTCGACGAAGCGTGCGTCGAGACACCATTGTGTCAATTGGGTTGCATGGTTCACGTTGTAAACCGGAATTCGGAGTATCGCGGTGATGGACGAACAATCATCGAGTATTTGGGCCAGCACACTTGTCGTCACCACAAGTTATTTTCAGGATTGTCCTCTTCCTACTGTATGCATGTGTTGCACGAATGAGGCTTGCATGTAGGAGCTAGAAGTGGCTAGCGAACTAGAACTCCTATTGATTTTGAATTCATTCCACAACATACTGCCTCAAGCACAAGTCTTAAGTCTGCCTCGTTAATTGTACTCCTATCGTCCTCTGCCTGTTCCGTTGATGGGATCCGGTTCCTTACATTTGGTAGCACTTGTTGGTCACGTGTCGGAAATTAGTGTGGTACACATTATTTTGGGATTCCATTGGTGACGCGTGCTACGTCAGTCTTTGAAGAGTATCATACAAGTTTTGGCATTGAACCACCGAGTCGGAGGGTTGTTCTTAACTGGGGATAATTCGTAGTACATGTAGCTACTACAGCTTGCTGATCCGATTACGGAATCACTAAATGCAGAGAAGGAAGACGCACCGGTAGTAGCTTCTTATTTGCCAATGTAGTATGGGTGAACGAGGGGAAAAGAAAACAATTACCGCACAGAGCCTTTACTGGACCTTGCAATGAAGGAACCCACGGTCTTCACAAAGATCATTTTGCAATTTAAACAAGATCATGAACATCCACGTTTCCTCCAGCAACACCGAAGCCAACTGTCCAGCCGTCACATTCGTGCCTGGTGACGACTTCAAGTCATGGCCACTCCTGCCTGCGCCCTCACCACGTTTTGCTAGTAGTTTGCATGCGCAAAATGCAAGCTCTGAGAATGCCGATACTTACCCGTCTCAAAATGTGGGAGGTTTGCCAGAAGCTACCAAGTGTCACGGTGACCTGATTCTCTCCATCCGTCAGCCTGTTGAGCGATGCGGAGTGACGTCATCGTTCCCTTCTTTTGCGCAACACTATCAATCTGACCAAGGGCTGAGTTTAGACGTCTTTACCTCAGAGAGAGGCAACAATGAAGATCAACAAATCGGTTACTCTCCCAGCCCGAGTGCAACCAGTGGATCAACGTCTCCAACCCCGGTGAGTAAAGACGCTTTAGGTGCGCCGCACACAAGAATCTACCTGACCTCTCCTGATACCAACGATGGCTCCTCCAACGCTCGCCAAGATACGCAAAATGGTCGCAGTCATGTTATGGACAGGGACGACGCATTCACTTCCAGCACCGCGCTGAGCTTTAAGGACATTGAGTGTTCTTCAAAGGTGATGAGTCGGAACGGAAAGCAAGTCACGGTATTGGTCGCACGCACGATATTGGGTAAAGATGGCAACAACATCAAGTACACCGAGATGCGTGTTATTTGCAGTCGTCTGGGTATCAAATGATACAAGAATAAGCCAAGCGCTCAGATCCTTGAAATGATTGCGCAAAATAAAAGGAATGACGAGGTCTATGCCCACACAGAAACAGATACAGTGCCCACTTCGGCTTTTGAACATAATTTTTCAGACCGTTTCGCTGAGCGATTCGATGCACTTGGGGATCAACGAACACGGGAAGACCTTGATACTCCTGTATCGCTTAAGAGTCACTTTTGGAATGACGTTCATGGCGCCTTTGTAGACGACACTACCCAGGAGTTTGACAACTTGACTGCGATGCACACCGCAATAGACCCCGACCAAATCGACCCTTCTGTTATAATTTCGCATTCGGCTGAGAAACTTCGATCAATCTAGAAATCCACGCATGCGGCCTACAAAAAGGCGTTTGTGAACTTCACAAAGTCTGGTACACATGAAAACAAATTTTATGGGTTCTGCAATGGGCGACTTGGTTCACTGTACCTGATGTTGCTTCTTGAGCGAAGACCTGGATTAGAGACTGCCGTGAATTGCTCCCTTCCAGAAGGTGTGTTCTATGAAAGAACTAATGATGTTGAACATGCAGCGGGTGCACATCCAACTCAAAAAGTAGACGTTGCAGAAGCATTCAGCAATTTTAGCGATTGACGAGACGCGCTAGAAAACCGCAAACAAGATACCGAAGAGAGCAAATTGCGCGTTTTGGAGAACAAGGATGCGAACAAGCTACTGTCTTCAAAACGGAGAAGAACGAGAGGAGAACAGTAAGATATTGAAACACATCGCCTTCGTGAGCGACAGGCTCCGATCACTTTACCGACAACGTGATGACGAACAGAACAAATACATTCGAGGGGACTTGGAAGAAGCAATTGCCACATTGGCATCAAAGAAGCGTAAGTTAGCTGGAATGTTGTAAGTCCCCATTAGTTAGCACTTAATCATTTAATACAAGTCTACAAATACGGTTGTGTTGAGACCGACTGAGGGCTGTTTGTTGAATGAACTCAACCGTTTTTGTCGTGCAAGACAGAAACCCCTGGAATGCTTATCGTTTCAGAAGATGTAGGATCGCTTGACAAGTAGTATAGATGATAAGATCCCGAATTACTTGATCCACGCACTGAGAATGCAACAACTTCTGAGACGGTATCGTTTGCTTCTGCTGCAACCAGTTCACTCAAATATGAGCAATAATTGTGAAGTAGAGCAGGCGCCATCACAGCCTTCCTGCAATTACGCAGGTTCCGTTGAATTGGGGACTTGAGGAATCGTCACTTATTTGACAGCACCCTAATGTCTGTTCAATTTGGATGCGAAGTTGACTAACAAAACAATCGTAGTTGTCACTTGCTGCGTTCATCCCGCGAACACCTCCTATTGGAGTAAGCATGTGCTCGGACGGAGTGTATGCAGCATCGCCAATCAAGTACCGATTATCGCTGAGTCTATCCACGTAAGAGGTCAGCTGAGCTCTTGAAAATGCATTCACATCACTGAAACTTCCAGGAGCTGCAACTGCAAAAAAACGACACTCATGATCGCAAACAGCTTAAATGTTGAGCCACATGCGATAATAGTGACCAGGAAAGTAAGCGCGCACATTTCCCGCCTCTCACCGCGTAGGTGTCTTGATTTTAACAAGCATTCCGTCGACGTACCCGACACAACCGTCCAGTACACCTTTCGTGCTTTCTCGCGAGCAGCTTGATTGATCTCACTGCTGGTGACGGGTAGTTGAATCGTGAGGCGAGTGCCGGATAGAATAGCGTAGATCCCTTTGTGTACACAGCGATAAAATGATGGAACGCTGACATGAGCAACGTCTACGATGTCCAAATATGAACCTCCCACCAGGTATCTGAGTGTGCAATGCAGAACAATTTCCTCGGAGATTGGAGCCACCCCAGTCCGCTTCGTCGACATTGTGCCGTTCACGGACAAGTGCGGGTTCAATAGCGCAGCCAACCGGTCGAAGTGCTGTTCGTTCATCCGGTAAATTGTATTTTCGCAACGCTGATGAAGTACGTGCTGAATCCAAATCAATCGTTGCCTGTTGTACAAGGCCTCTCTCATCTGTAGTTGTGCCGTAGCAGCAGCAAAGCAGACCACAACACTCGCCATTTGAGATTTATACCGCCAGCCAGCAGCCAAATCTCGTCGTCATCGCTATCATAATCGCTTGGGGTGTTCATGCTTGGTATCTTGATGCCACCAGCGACAGAGGGAGAGGGAAGTGGGAGGGCAGTCAACAAGGTTCAAGTTAGGACCTGATCCCTGATTC